CTCTGATGGCTTTACTTATCAATATCGGTGCCATCCGTTCGCTCAGTTGCATACGCGGTGCGTGTCAACTTTATTTAGACCAAAATTATCTGTGACCATTGATAATCAAACAACTCCAAATCCTATTCATTTAGATGTAAACCTGAAACTTATTAATAAAATATATTTAAAAAACATCAACACTAGGATTTGTTTATTTAATATTTAGATTTTGTGTGGATCCAGCGTGCTTGTCAAGTTGTCATTATACTACTACTAGACCTAGGCCTAGTACTAGATCTAGATCTAGACCCTAGCTATCAGTGGCGTACGCAGGATTTTTTCAAGGGGGGGGGGTAAGAGGACTTTTTTTTGGGGGGGGGAGTCATCTTGTTTAGGTCATCCATTAAGATTTTTTTTTTTAATTTAATTTAAAAAAAAATCAACACTCAAAAAGGGGGGGGGGGTTCTAGAAAAACATACACATAAAAAAAAGCTCAAGGGGGTGGGGGGGTACCCCAACCCCCCCCCCCCCCCCCTCCCCACTGCGTACGCGCCTGACCCCTATCAATTCTTTTAATATATTAGCGATTTTTTTTTTTCTTCTCCAAATTGTGCAGTTCATGTTGATAAATCTATTTGTGTATTAAGAGAAGACCCCTAGTCCACAATTATGTTTACTTATGTAGATCTAGTCCACTTCTTCTTGTCTTAATAAACCAATTCTACTTAAGACTACTTTATATGTATAGGCCATATAAAACACTTTTTGAAGCACAAGTTAAATCTTCCATTTAATTTTAATTTGTACTGTGGTCCATTAAATTGGAATGTAGATTTCCACACCATATTAAAATTAAGGCCAACCATGACCTGAAAAATAGCTTTTATGCTAGATCTATTTTTATTTTGTTAAGGAGAAAGGGACGCCTTGATTGTCATATTGATTTTGTTTTCTTTTTGTTCCAACAGATTGAAACTGATCAAGATCGAGCTGGAAGGAGTTAACTGATGAGTAGACATTACAACATTTCTTATATTTGCAAGATGAAGCTGAAAGTCCCATGCAGGTAACATTTTCAGGATATTTAGCACACAAATATTAAACGACCACCTATTAATTCACTAAAAAAGAAAATGGAACTAAGTTTATGTTGCAGGTGTATATAGTGGAGGGGATATTTTATTCTAGTTCTTCCCTTTCTTTGTTTACTAAGGGATTTGTCCTTATTTACAGGAGGTCCTGTATGTAGAAGAACGATGTCTAATGCACATTCAAAGCACTACATAATAATAATAATAATGATCATACATGTAGGGTATACACAGGACCCCTCATTACTTTTTTTTTGTAAGTGGTCCTTTCACTTCTTGAGCAATGAAGATGAAGAAGAACACAACATAAGATTAATTAAAATCTGTTTATAGGATGTATTATGATTGATATGTATCTATTATTATCACTTTTTAATTGAAGTACCTACATCGTTTTCTCTTATGTAGGATGATGCTTCTCTACAGTGGATGATGAAGGCATGCTGATTACAAACCCAGGAGAGGAACAAAGTCTACATTACGTATGTTTTAATATCATTATTTCCAGTACATTCTCTGGTCCAAGTTGTTTGGTCATTTTATGTCCCATACTTAACCGAGTATTATTCAATTATGAGCACAAGTTCACAATACAAGTACATTGTACACGTATTACTTATTTCATACCTTGTCTGATCCAAGCTCCAGCAGGCTTATCATCTTAACGGGATCATCAGAAATAATCTAAGATGTGGTCAGTAACTAGTCTTGTAGGAAAAATAGTTTTGGTTTGCCAACTATAACCCCAAGTGAATTTCAGTCCTTTGTCATGTTGTCAGAGCAGGTATCAGTGTGTATGTTATGTCATTGTTGTTTTTCTTATACACTGTATCTTATTTCATTTTTCCATTCAACAGACTTGGGTTATCATTACAGCCCTTTCTTCTGAAAACTAGGCTACAACTTTATTGATGAATGCAGGAGACACCTACATGGGACTACGTCTTGAAGATGCCACCCTCATATAATGAAAGAGGACAGTAGAGATGGGTTTAAACTTGAATATTTACATGATATTTATTTATTATTTGTATTATATGTTTGTAGAATAGCACAATCAATCAAGCTAATGAATTTATCATCATGTCAACTTTCAAATGATTAAAGATAACTAATCATCAATGAATAAACATTAACATTTTAACAACATCAACTACCATCTTATAGGAGGACTGGGCAGAAAGATTCTCCTTGAAATTTGAGTGATAAAGATCTATCAGTCTATATCAAAGATTGAATTAATCATGATATTTTAATTATAATTATACTATTATATTATCAGTCTATGGACTTCTGTATTTGAAGTTTGTAGATTATTACATTATTGCTGCTTCAAGTATTGTATGTAAGAAGGTTTGAAAGACGACCCTCTAAATGCACTAAATATGGGAACTGCTAATCATCATTGCCTTTTGTATCCAAACTGCTAATTTTAATAGAATCATGTTTTGATACTTCCTAGCTTAAGAAAACGGGGGGGGGGGGGCTTGTTATCCTCTTCCTGGTGCTGTTTCTACATGGACCATGTAACAGGTTGCAAAAGTGTAAACAATATTATATTTGTTATATGTTTATATTAGAAGGATTTAGAAAATGAAAACATTTTGAATCGTAGAACTACTGTTGCTAGAAGTAATATGGCAGTATTGATGTGTAAGGGAAGGGGGTGGTTTTCCCAGTGAAATTAACGGTATGCCAATGTAAAATTAATACAAAAAAGAGAAAACTATTCTTAAAAATAAAATTATAAAGGACATGGGCCTCCTAACTAACTAACCCTGGTACCACTTCTGGGTTGTTGTTGTTGTGTTTTTGTTTTGTTTTGTTTTGTTTTTGTTTTTGTTTTGTTTTTGTGTTTTTGTGTTGTTGTTTTTTTTTTTTTTGGGGGGGGGCAACCCAATTCAAAATTTCCAGTGTTAAATTCCATTTTCTTTAAACAAAAATGATGTCAAGATGTTGAAAACAGTGTTTCACTTTCCGTTTTCAAGTTAGAAAATTTGAATAAAATGATTAACATATTTTCCGATCTCTCTGGTCTCTACATTAAAAATGTTCAAAGCTCCTGCAATGGCTGCAAAAAGGAAAAGTGAAGATAATCCAAGTGAAATGTGGTCAGTAATGGAGTGAATATGGAATGGTTGATCGTAGGTGATAACGAGTAAATGTAAATGAGTGGTATTACGACTGAAAGTGAAACAGAAAGGAACTGCAACAGGTTGTTCAGTCAAGACAACAAACCGTTAGTTGCAGAAGATAATTTACGAAAGACAGAGAAAGAGAGAGAAAGGGAATCATTAAGGTACGTTGAGAGTGGGTGGAGAAAAACAGTCCACTTTGCCACATAATTTGTTTGTCTAAAATAAGGAAACTTTATACATTAGTATATTTAAAATGTATAATCATAGCCAGAGAATGTGTTGTTATATGGCTTATAGCATGTTTGATTTAATAAAACAAAAACAGACCCAGTTATTGATAGACTAAAAAGGGAATAAGATCGAGACATTAAGAATATCAGTATTTCTTATTCAATGAAGTTAAGGCCACTCCCCCATATTAAAAAACAACAACATCACAACAACGAGAGGAACTTTAAGGTCCACTTCCCAGATGCATCCTGGGTACACCAGCTGTTTTACTGGTGATCGATAATACACGTTCGAGCGCGTATTTCACCTAACGGTGATCGCATCAGAATAGTCCACACTGATTCGCTGAATCACTTGCGTTGCTAGCGCGCAGCGTGATGAATAAATTACCCATAATTCCGTACAGTAGATTATTTGACCTCTCTAATTACGCTGATACGCGTATTGTCTTTTACCATGTAGTGAACATCATTCCAGTACACTTTTCGTGGGGAGCATCCTACAGAATGCATAATTCATAAGGCTCATGAATTATGCAAGGTAGCTTATTTTGGCTTCTAATGGATCCGGACAAAATGGCGGAGCTTGGGGGGCCTGATTGGTACCGCCTCTGTGCACGTGCGCACCACCTGAAGACACCGAGCGCACATTGCATTTACAATACGCACAACAGCTAGGTCAAGTGCGTTATTTGTTTTATAAAATAGCGACACATGAAAATCAAAACAAACGAAAGTCTGCATCTAACCATTATTAGAGTCTACGAGAGTTAGACTTAGATCGAGTTATGTTGGTTCGATCTAGAAAATGAAAAGTTAACACCTCGCACAAGTTGCAGGCTTGCTATACTTACCAAAAAGTCCACGGTATTCCACTTGCGTCAATTGAGTAAAAAAAAATATCATACTTGAATCAAACAGCTGAAATTCCTGGCTTCATTATAAAATCCAAAATTCAGAACTAAACAGGCCAAAATCCAAGGCAAAAGTAAACAAATATATGTTTTCTATTCTCCCGCTCTACAAGTACGCTGCGCTGGAGCGTGCAATGATACTTTTGACTGCACTTTTTTGACACGATCGTGCGGTGCACCAAAAAGGTGCTTGTCATGTGACGCGTTTCGACCAATCACGATGCTTGAAATACTAAAGCTATTTCATAATTAATAGTATAACCATTATCTTGGACCCCATGAAAGAACAGTCTTGTTTCTGTAGCTTTACTGAACTGGGTGTCCTTCCGACTTCATTTTGTCTTCTTCTTTTCTTTTTACAATGTATATTATGTTTTTTTAAAAGGTTGATTGATATTAAGTTGTAAATGTTCTGAATATTTATATCATGTTCTTATTGTGAATTTGGAGAATAAATAAATAAAATAAAAATCATTTCTGCTCTCTTCATTTATCTCTCTCTATCTCTCCATCTCTCTCTCTCTCTCTCTCTATTCACTTTTTTCTCTCTCTCTTTTCAACCCTCTCCCCTCATTCTGCCCCTCCTTTTCTTTGATTATCGACTTATTTTATTTCGTATTTATTGTTGCATCTCTCCAGATTGAATTTAAGGGAACTAAGATGCAGCAGCGGTTTTACAACAGTCCTCTTGCGTTTAGCATTCTATTGGGGCTGACCATGTTCATCTATATCGGGTGTATAGGTCCGTACAGCACGGGGACTATCACCACCCTTCAACGACAGTTTCTTTTTAAAAGCTCCGAGATCGGTTTCCTACTCGCCGTCAACGACGTCGTCGCGATGGTCATGGTCACGTTGACGGCATACTACGGAGTCAGCCGAAATCGTCCACGTATTCTAGGATGCTTTACCTTCCTGTTCACAGTGGGATGTGTGGTTAGTACCATACCGCAGTGGGTTGAAGAAAGTGCCTACCAGAATGTTACCATCGGCTCTAATTCATCATCGTCGAAGGATCTTATCTGCGATTTTACCGGTGAGTCCAAATAATGGTAATAATAATACTGTTTACTCACGGAAGGCTCATCAGCTTCAAAGCTGTTCTTCCTGAGTTCCATGGAATTAGTATTCCTCCAGCTATTGTCAGGTACCCATGGTCACTTGGGTGGAGAGTGGCAAAAGCGGATTAACGTCTTGCCAAAGGACATTAGTGCCGGACTGAGATTCCAACCCTCAACCCTTTGATTGAGAGTCAAGTGAATTAACAACTATACCACGACACCTCCACTAGCATTCAGTCACCAGTTGTTTTGTAGTTTGTCTTTTTCTTATTACCAAAACAATATGTTACTTTGTTTTGGTCTACTTCTCACCTCTCGGCAGATAGTGAACCAAGTGAAGGAATCTTTAATATGTTCAGTGTGTATGTAAGAGTAATTATAATTCATGTAAACATACATCAAATATTCTCAAGCAAGCATTAAAAAATTACGATAAGTCTGTGTTCAATGCCATCTCAATGTACTAATTCAACCTTACAAAGAGTTTTTACATTGAACTTCAAAATTTCAGGGGGAGGGGGGTGAAGTTTACGACGCGAGTTAATAGATTTATTGTTATCTAGTTGATGGGTCCCGAAACTTATGAACTACAAGATACGGGGTTCAAATCCCTGCCCAAGTACCCGGCTGGTATAAATTACCCTCGACTGCTATTATAACGCTATAGCGGCTGAGCTAAAGCCGGAATAATAATGTTATACTTATTAAACGGCCACTCTATTACCAAAACGGGCTAAAATAGGAAAAACAAGACATGTAGAATAATTTTTGACGGAGATTCCGAACATGACAATGTTTATTATTAGAAATCATCAACAATTCTAGAATCTAGCTGTAAAAATGACGAATCAGAACGCGCAGAAAAAAAGCTCAGTTTTGGGGATGATGCATTTGACGTCACTACAGGCGACTCACCGGTGAAAAGGAGGGTGATCTAGGCATTAAAATGTCTTTTAAAAGGCAAACTATGATATCAATTGAAGAAAAAATGACGTTTATCCGAGAAAAAAAAATAGACACTAGATAACCCCAGTACGATTCTGGCAATTTCGTCATTCCTAATAATGAAATTATTAAATCGGACATGCCCGCAATGACGTCAAATGCGTCATCAAGCCACGTGACCGTATTACATTTTTTTCGAGGGGCGTAGCCCAGCAAGCGTGAGAACTGTGAAAAATGGTTGGCAATTATCATTTTTTTGTCAATTTAGAGATTTTCTGAAAATCAGAGAATGGAATATTAATAAGTAGAGGTGTATTCATGTTTTGAAAGGCTATGTTAGTTGGGTTAGAGTGGCCCATAAAGTACAGTTACCAGGGTATATTTGTAGCTGTGCTATCTGGATTGATTACAAGTAATATGATTTACCTTTCTGTATACCAGGCGTTCCCGATGACGGAGATACATGTTCAGATAAAGAGAAAGAAGAATCTGGAGCCCAACACCTAAAGGCAATTTGGTTGTACATCGGACAAGCTTTCTTTGGCATTGCGTCTTCGGGCTACCTCTCGCTTGGGATCAGCTATCTAGACGACGGTATCCCAAGAAAAAAGGCCCCGTTATATATTTGTAGGTTTCTTTATCTTCCTGTCTTCCTGTACATCTTCTGACGATGTATGGAACTTTTACCTTTGACATATGTTAATTTACGTCATGCAGTGATACTTTTTGTAAGTTCTCAAATTTTCTAAAAGTTAGCAACGTTTAATTGGCAACATGTACGTGTATGCAAACAGGTCTATTCACGCACTTCCGTGCATGTAAATGCACCGAACGGATCCAGATGCAATCTCTAGAACGGATCACAGAAGCAAACCCTTTGAAACAGGGTGCGATGGCCCACCGCAAATTTATTTTGGTAAAAAAAAATCGACTCTCGATGGATAACTGGGGAAACAATTACAAACAAATGTGTGTATGTATACAGAGCATTTGATGGCCTGTTACAGCCTCCATTATCTGTAGGGGCCTGTTAATCACTATTTACTTGTATTGAATGAAGCAATCACTTGGCATAATTGGCTGTAGTGGACTAACTCCTGGTGTACATCGAGCTTGATACCCCAGTCATAACAACAAGACCGATACCAGACCGACAAGACCCATCATTACATTAAATCTATTGGCATCATCGGCCCAAAATCGGTCTATTCGGAATCGGTATAGAGTCGGTTTTGGCGGTGTGATACCTCAGTCACACCAACAAAGCCATCACCAGATCAACAACAGAGCGACCAAACAATTATAGCATAGTCTGACATCCACGCATGCACTGATTTATAGACCTTTACTATTGTACCAAGTGATCTGACCGGGAGACCCACAGGATATCCTACACTCCCGTATATAGATGATGATGATGATGAAAGTAATTCCATTTGCCAGAAATCGGGCTGTTTGGAGTCGGTTTAGAAACTTTTGAGTCGACATGAAATTTGTTTTGCATCTTTTCTCCATATAGCTGGCATCTTCATGGTGGTGTCACTTGGATCTTTCGTGGCGTTTGGGCTCAGTGCTTTCAGTCTGACCTTCCATACCGATTTCTATAAGATCGATGTCGATGAACTCGGCTATGATGACAAGGATCCAAGATGGATCGGAGCGTGGTGGCTGGGTTACTTAGTCTACGCTGGAATCTTTATTCTTCTGGGTATACCTTACTTCTTCTTCCCAAAGGTTGGTTTTATGTTTAATGGTTTAGTTCTGTTATAAATGTTGAGGTGGCAAATGTGGCTAAAGGTGGTACTCATGTATTGACTCGAACCTGTGTGGGTCTATGAATGGCATTCAAGGGCCCATGACATCGAAATACAAGCGTATTCCTGTTGGTGTGCAGTCCTGCATACATCTCATATTTTGATATGCAAACTTCTGAATTTGTTTCATAGATTCTTAAATATTTTTTGAAATATTTGTTTTTCAAACTTGCTAAACTCCACCCCAAAAACATCCAGATCTTATTCCCTTTCATGAAATCATCTGTCAGTCATCAATGAGCTAACTTGAGAAGGTAGTATGTATCTTTGCCGAAGTCGACCACCTGTTACAATACGTAATACAATATTTTATGATATAATTTCATAATCTAATGTCACCTTCTTGGAACAACACACACAATACTGTGCTACAAACTGGGGATTAACAAGATCAAAAATTAAGTATTTACTCCCTTGAAATAATTGTGCCGCTCAGGCCCAAAACACAAACATAATTATATTGCATAAAATCTCACATGTATAGCTGTGTATATGTGCAAGGTTAGCCTAGTATTTTTGTAGGGGCAGCAGCGAAAATATTTCGATAATCTAGGGCCACTCCCTGTCTGAACAATGCAGATGAGAGATGATCTGCTGCATACAAACTGGTTGGGATCAATAGAAGCGCTGATTTGCAGGGCATTTTTTCATTTTCGCCAACACTGAATTTGTTTCTTCTTCTTCTTCTTCTTTCTCCTTGATAAAGATGAAAATCTGCGCTCTGACGTCACACCTTATAAAAACGTATGTGCAATAACGGTGGCGACTAATGTGCAGTCGAAATAATAGCCGCTTCTGCCTCGTCTCGTCCGTGCGAACCAATTAGCGGATGAAACGTACCGATTTGGTGAGCATTGTTCGCACGGACGAAACCTGCGCCCAGGCAAAAGCGGCTGCCACACAGGGGTTAAAGTATTTTATTCTTCATTTATTTTTCTGATCCATAGGAGTGGCCAACACAACTTTCGACAGAAGACGATGAAATCGAGCTGGAGCTAAGACCCAAGATAAAGGATGATATTAATACCAATCGCCACGACCAGGAGTGTCAGACGGCACTCACCGGCGACGCCGACGGAGTCGGTGTCGTTGTCAAAATTGGAGTAGACGGATCGAATGTTCAGATGAACGACAGTACCGACAAGCAGAATGGTCATCCTGAGGTTGTTGAGGGAAGCAACAGTTACAAGAGGTTGGACATCGAAAGTGATGATCCTTCTAAACCGACTGCTGATGAAAAGGAAGACGGTGATCAGGGAAATAACCAACCGAGTCTCTGTAGTTTCGCTATCATTACAGGTTCGCTCATTGACTTACATGTTCCCTTATTCTCAATTCGCTTTACATCCCAACCAGCTCATCAGATTTATCTAATCATTTGATTTATAATAATATTAAACACTGTTTACAAAGTTAGGGACAATTTATTAAAAAATTAATCTAAAAATTGAGCATTTTACCTTTGAAATCAAACTAATTGTAAAGTACATATAAGACTATTGCAAAGACATTCAAAAAAATCAACTCAAGGGCGAGTTTTTCAATACCCTTTCGTACTACTTTCCAAGCCTGTATAAATCATGTGTGGGTTATTCGATATGATATTGTAATGGTCAAACGGTGACGTATATGGCTACTGCCATTACCTTAGCTTGTTTCTTGAAAGTCTTCGCTATTATTATTCATTTATCTGTGAAGGACACCTTTAAAAATGCGTCGCCTTCTCATGGACTTCATCTTTACTTGTTAACCAAAATCCAAACGCACAAATAGAAGTTTAGATCTAAACCGTGGTCTAAACAACCAATTTACAATGGGCTGCTAGAAAGGCCAAAAATGCTGAATACTGGGATTATTTACTGATCTTTGCTCAACTGATTGTATTGTTTATTTGATTGTTAACTGTTAATTTGAAAGCAAGCATATCATTTATTCAATGTAGGATATCTTTCTGCTGTTCGTCGCCTTCTTACGAACTTTACCTTTATGGCCATTGTCATGGGAAGCACCACAGCTTCCGCAAACACTAGTGGGTTCTACATCTTTATTGGTCGCTACCTTCAGACTGCGTATGACATCACACCTGCAGACGTCTCCATCATTTTATGTAAGAGTTAATGCGATTTTTAAAGAGTATGGTTGAGTTCGAGTAAAGGCAAAAGTAACTTGTGCAGTTTTGTGTTAGTTCTTTGTACTCCTATTTGAAAGAGCATCAGAGTAGAAATGTCCGTAAAAGCAAACATGGCAAGAAGTAGAAACTGTTATGTCGCAATTTTGTGTCGACCCATATCCACATTTCCGTGAGCAGGGCATATGATATTTCGAAAAACCAACTCCATGCATTTTCATTTTGATAGTTTCCAAGTCTTAAAGTGTACATCAATAAATTGGGACAACATAATACACTTTTCCGATTGCCTCCAGACACATTCTTTCATAATGAAATACCATTACCAGTACTTAACGTTATATCTGATGCTTCATTTCAAATGTTAGAATAGCTTTGAAGCATAGTTTTATTGTGAATGTACAAAGAAAGATAACTTTTGTAAACAACTCTTTAATCTAGGGTCGGATAAGACCAACAATTGTGTTATTTTCTGTTTCTATTTTGTCTGCTTTCTCGACTCACTGATATAACATTGTCACGTGATGGTTAATGCTGTGTTCTCTGTTGTCTTGTGGTTGTTGTTTTTTGTATACGCAATCATGCCATATCATATCAGGTCCAAAGTCTACTTTATCTTTGGATTTAAATGTATGTATATGTGAATATATATATGTGAATGTATATACAATAATAATACAAAATAATAATAGTGGTTTCTTGTATAGCACTCATGTCTGTCAGATTTGACACTCCTGGCGCTCCCGATGATTGCGAAAAGAAGTGGAGGAGAATAACTAAATATGGTTGCCTAGCTTAAATCAAATTCCTCTTTAAATGTCTTCAGATATTTAAAATAATTCCCTAATATTTTTAGGAATATCACTCTGTTGGAGTTTTCTTTAACAATAATAACACACACACACACACATACACACACCGACAATGATAGTTTTATGCTGTCAGTAGTATTATTATCACTATTATCATTATTATCATTACTAAATATTTATAAAAAGATATGTATATTTATATAAATGATTTATTGGTAGTAAAATAATGGCATTAATTTTGACTTTTTCAGCTGCTGTTACGACACCAACATCACTGTTTGGTGTTATGCTTTCTGGAGTGATTATTAACAGAATGAATCTGAAGATAAAAGGTTTGATTAACTTGGCGGTAATTTGCAAGACCATTGCGATAGTTTTTATCGCTGGTAATTTCGCTATCTTCTGCAGCAGGGCTTTGATAGCGGGTGTGACTGCACCCTACTTTACTGGTGAGATTAGGTAAGTGTGATTTCATTCCTGTACCCTACTCTACTGGTGAGATTAAAGTGTGATTTCATTCCTGTACCCTACTCTACTGGTTAGATTAAAGTGTGATTTCATTCCTGTACCCTACTCTACTGGTGAGATTAAAGTGTGATTTCATTCCTGTACCCTTCTCTACTGGTGAGATTAAAGTGTGATTTCATTCCTGTACCCTACTCTACTGGTGAGATTAAAGTGTGATTTCATTCCTGTACCCTACTCTACTGGTGTGATTAAAGTGTGATTTCATTCCTGTACCCTTCTCTACTGGTGAGATTAAAGTGTGATTTCATTCCTGTACCCTACTCTACTGGTGAGATTAAAGTGTGATTTCATTCCTGTACCCTACTCTACTGGTGTGATTAAAGTGTGATTTCATTCCTGTACCCTTCTCTACTGGTGAGTTTAAAGTGTGATTTCATTCCTGTACCCTACTCTACTGGTGAGATTAAAGTGTGATTTCATTCCTGTACCCTACTCTACTGGTGAGATTAAAGTGTGATTTCATTCCTGTACCCTACTCTACTGGTGAGATTAAAGTGTGATTTCATTCCTGTACCCTTCTCTACTGGTGAGATTAATGTGTGATTTCATGCCTGTACCCTACTCTACTGGTGAGATTAAAGTGTGATTTCATTCCTGTACCCTACTCTACTGGTGAGATTAAAGTGTGATTTCATTCCTGTACCCTTCTCTACTGGTGAGATTAAAGTGTGATTTCATTCCTGTCCCCTATCTACTGGTGAGATTAAAGTGTGATTTCATTCCTGTACCCTACTCTACTGGTGAGATTAAAGTGTGATTTCATTCCTGTACCCTACTCTACTGGTGAGATTAAAGTGTGATTTCATTCCTGTACCCTACTCTACTGGTGAGATTAAAGTGTGATTTCATTCCTGTACCCTACTTTACTGGTGAGATTAGGTAAGTGTGATTTCATTCCTGTACCCTACTCTACTGGTGAGATTAAAGTGTGATTTCATTCCTGTACCCTACTCTACTGGTGAGATTAGGTAAGTGTGATTTCATTCCTCTACCCTACTCTACTGGTGAGATTAAAGTGTGATTTCATTCGTGTACCCTACTCTACTGGTGAGATTAGGTAAGTGTGATTTCATTCCTCTACCCTACTCTACTGGTGAGATTAAAGTGTGATTTCATTCCTCTACCCTACTCTACTGGTGAGATTAAAGTGTGATTTCATTCCTCTACCCTACTCTACTGGTGAGATTAAAGTGTGATTTCATTCCTGTACCCTACTCTACTGGTTAGATTAAAGTGTGATTTCATTTATGCACCGTGCTATACTCTCCAAATTAGAGAGGTCTGCTGTTCATAGAAGGAAGGTTCTGGTAAAGTTAGATAGATAGTTGTGGACGGTTATTTTACTTGACTGCTATTAGAAAGCATAATTGCTTGTTAGGAAGCAACCAGAAGACCGACGGCTTTAGGTCCTCTCCGAGGGACCTGGTAATGAAGATGGATGCCTTATCAAAGGGCACAAGCCACTATGAACATGACTGGCAAAGAAAGCGAACAAAATATACAGTTCCTCAGGTAGACAAAGGAACATCCCTTCACTGCTATTATGTAAACATGTGTATAACAGGTGTCACATGCATATTCACCTTTTTACATAATAGCAGTAAAGGGATGTTCCTTTGTCTACCTGAGGAACTGTATATTTTGTCCGCTTTCTTTGTCTGTTATGTTCATAGTGAGGGCATCGACTTGGTTTCGAACCGGGGTCACCGGATTACGAGACCACTGCTCAACCGACTGAGCTATCGCGCCACCCCAAGTTGGACAATATTTTAGAGCTTCATCTTTTAAATGTTCTTTATAGGTTTTGCATGGTGAGGTAGATGAGACGGGTAAACCATGTGTGTAGTCATAATAAGGACTGGGGTATTATTTCTTGGAGAGATGTGTTAATTTATGAAACCCAAGTCCATATAAGGACTACAAACATGGTGTTCCCGTTTTAGGAAATCATTTTTTGTATGGCACTTCGGTAGAAATAGAAATGTCCCCTGAAAATGCATTGCTTTTCAAATGCCTTTATATCTGACATATGACAAGAAGTGGTGTATGGAGCAAACAGCCACGCCACACATGTTTGTCGTTAAACATGACGTGCTTTCATTGTTTGAGGATTCCAAAACTTCACATTGTACACCAATTCCTATGGACTACATGAACCTTTTCCACACACAGTTTCTTTCACATTGCTTTTGCATGACCATAGCCCCTTCTTACAAAGAGTTGTGATTGATCCGAATCAATCGCTAACAAAGTTGGTAATAATATCAACTCTTTATGTAAAGAAGGGGCTGAGAGCTCAACTTTTTGTACAAGTTAAATGACTAAAAAGGTGTTTCGGATCGCATGTTTTTGTTATAATTATACAAAGACGTAGCACGCATGAGCTTTATTAACCAATAGTAAATCAACAATGTGTAAACAATACTGCACATACTGCAAAATTGCATGGGGAACATGCAATAAAATTGCACCCCCCCCCCCCCAAAAAAAAAAAAAGAAGATTAATCTATTTCCATCTTCCCCCTCGGCTCCTTCCCGCAGAGATGGATAGTGCGCAAATTAAAATTATCAATATAATTACTAATCATTATTATTTTCATTATTATTATTAGTATCATTATTATTGTTGTTGTTTTTGTTTTCGTTTTTTTTTGTTTATGTTTATTTATCATTCATCTTGTTTCTATTATTATCAGTTTTCAATAATATTATTATCATTATCAATATCATCATCATCTTCTTCACCATTGTTCATATTGTTTTATTTTTAAATATCAGCTTGGAGCCGGCGCCATCTTGTATTGCGAGCTGCGGGTGTGAGAAAGGAGTTTATACTCCAGTCTGCGGCTCTGATGGACTCACCTACATCACACCTTGTCATGCGGGCTGCACTGGGATAACTGAGAATGACGAAGGGGAGGTGAGACAGTCAACTAGTCAAGCTTCTTGTATTTACGTCAAATACCTTATAAGGATAATAATAATGATTATTGTAATAATATTATTAATAATACAATTTATAAGGAGATGAATTCGTCACATGAAGACGAATGAGGTGGTCTACTTTGTCCCCAAACGAAATGTCGTGTTAACGGAGAGATGGAGAGAGAGAGAGAGAGAGAGAGAGAGGGGTGGGAGAAGAAAGGTAAGGTGAAAGACAGACGTTATAATATAATGCCCTTATAATGCGTCATATTGCGCAATTAAACTATTTTGAGGCGCATCAATTGTAACCCTGGCTTTACCCTGTCTTCGATGTTAATGCCTACTTGGAGTTTGAAGGAATTTCTTCTTACAAGGTACCCATAAACTTCACCTGGATCAATTGTGACGTAGATAAATGTCTTGCCAAAGGACGTTAGTGCCGTGGAAGGGACATGAACCCCGCACCTTGTGATCCACACGGCCAAGACGAATGAAAACTCGCGCGTGCAAAATTTTGAATTGTTTAATGGCCCGAAAGATGTGTAAAATGAATTTTAAACTATTCTGAGGATTTTTTAATTTTTGACGGGTGATCTTTTTTTGCTTTGTTTCTCTGAATATGTCATTCTTTTTTGCCTATTTCTTGAATTTTTAATCTGAATTTGTCTAGATTGATTTTCCTCATATTCTTTTGTTACTACTCATTCGATCCTCCTTGTTGACTATATTTTCAGACCGTCTACACGAATTGCACCTGCGTGTCATCTAGCTCGACTGATAGCCCGCTTTGTGAGGGACTTTCGACCGCTGTAAAGAACCAGTGCCCACGAGCCTGCCGAGTCAAGATCATCACTTTTATCTGTCTGTATTGCGTTTATTCAACGGTTCAGTCTCTGATGGGAAACGCTGTTATTATCGCCAAGTTAAGGTATTGTTGGCATTTTTTTAAAATGCAGATAGTTTGCAGCGTATATTATCGGTGATTGAAAGATGCACTTATGTAGTAGTAGTAGTATTATTTATTTTCGTATAAAAACATGATAACAATGCATGAGATACGGTGGATTGCCAGCATTCAGCTACCCGACATGGGAAAGCTTGTCTTCTGTGGGGTCCGGAACAATTACATAAACGAAACAAACTATAAATAAATATCTGAACAACAGTAAGTATATTGTCGAGAAAAAAAATCAAATAAAGTAATCATAACAAGATGAGGAGGGGGACCATGTGCTACAGTTCTGCATGATGTAGTGGATGGTGATAAACAAGTTGCAGTTAAGTGATGCAAAAACAGAGGCATTGCTACTTGTTTCACCCAAACTTAATCATCAACTTCCAGACAGAGTGTCAGTGTCTGTCGGTAATGCTACCATTGTCCCCTCTGATTCTGTTAAGACTCTTGGTGTCTATATTGATCATTCATGATCCATGTCTAACCAACTTTGTAAATCTCTAAACTCTCACAAGAGAAGCTTGTAGCCATGCTATTCGATCGCTTGTGCCTAGTAGGTTAGATTCTTCAAACTCCGTATTAATTAGGGGCACAGTTAGAACTATTGCCCAAGGGGAGCTTCAAAACGCTGATGTTAACACTTTAATCTCGTATTCCATGCAACGCATTTTGCTTTTTATTTTCTGTTCACTTTTCTCATTGTTTAGGGTCGTAGACAACAGAGACAAGGCGTTATCACTGGCTCTGGCTAGCTTCTTTACTAAAGTTTTAGGTAAGATTTTTCAGCCCACAGCAGTACAATGTCTCCTTTAAATGACGTGTTTTTTGCGGGGGAGGGGGTGCATTATTTCCTGATCCAGAATGCTAAAAAATCAATTAATTAGCGGACAGAGCCAATATCACAGAAGATTTTAGTACGTTATGCAGCTCTCGAATAAGAGCGATTTAATTGTGACTTATCATTAAGGTATCTAAATTGGCATCGCCATGTTCATAAGAAATTTGAAGTTTACTCGAAGTTATATACCATGATGATCTTAAGGATAGAAATGGCGCGATAATTACGAGTAGCTGAGGGTCCTCACTCGAATATATGTAACGTGTGGACGCAATTAACTTCGAGGTTCAGCCAGCCTTTTAGTTAAAATGACTGCTCGCCCGGATTGTAGCTTAAAACTTTAAATACTCGGCGTTTAGATTCCTTGTGAACCATTGTCGTTGTAAATGTATCGTTATTAAGAACATCGCAAACTTCAAGATTAAATCTTCGACGGTCCCGTGGGAACATTATTTTTATTTCCCAAGGGTGTACCTTTTGATAGACAGATTATCATCAAAAATTATTAATTAACGTTAGTAAGCAAAAGGACAAAATGTTGGGACCATTTTCAAACGTAGTCTAAGTTTTATTTCCATGCTGTACTTTCATTTGGTTGTTGCCTGATGCATCTACGTGAAACTAACAAAAATAAGAGCTTTAAGAACTTTTGGCACAAAATGATAGTATTCAGAACACATTTTAATAATGTTTGTAGCGTTTGGTCTACTAATAATGGTCGAATAATAACCGTGCAAGCAAACCGACTACAATTTTAATCTCCTAAACTTTCCACTTTTTATTCTACAATACAGCGTTCATTCCTGCTCCTATCTATTACGGCCTGGCGATACAGTCTACATGTGCCATGTTTCAGGAGTCTTGCGGAGAGACTGGAAATTGTCTCATCTATGACACGGATCGTTTTTCGAAGAACTTCTGGGGGCTGTTTCTTGGTTTAGGTTTAACCACCGTTTTTTGCTACGCCGTTAGCTCTATCTCCCTTCGTCGAGATGCTAAAGGGGTAAGTGCCACACCCCCCCCCCCCTCCCCCACAAACAAACACAAAATCAGTCACAGACGACTTCGAAAAAATGTAAGATAAAACCTTACAATTTCTGTAAGCATGTTATTGAAAGTTTTCTGTTATTTAGTTCCTTTGTCTGGTACGAGGGATGTTAAAAGAATGACTTTAGCAAACCTGAACAAATCACCATACAAGCAGGGAAGGTCATCGGCGGAGTTCAGAATTTGAAATAAGCATGCGAATCAAAAATCATAATATAATTGAAACAAATTATGCAGAATGAAAGTGACACACTGTTTCCATATTATGATTTCATGCGTTCTGTTAAATATCTCAGATTAATGAAATGACGTACTCGATGTTTCCTTTGTTCCTCCCGATCAGTCCGCTACGTAAAATCAAACCCTTTTGAATATTCCGGTCATGTCACATATTTTCTTAATACCCCTCTTTGCAACTCAAAGAAAAATACTGAATACTGTTTCTGTTTTATCGTGTTAAAATATCTATCTATGCCACGTTTGTACTTATCTTTATAAACGTATTATGTTATGAAAAGTTGTACGTAAATGTGAGCGAAGCGAATTTCCATTGTACAATAAAAATGAAATTGAATTGAAATCGATACCGAATCCGGGAATAAGGGGGTACATGCCATCTCCAAAAGAGTAACGAAATGTGACATCATCATGGCCAAGTTGTCAAGGTTGCTGGTTCCAAACATTTTTGTGCTAAACAATGGCGTGGAGATCACACCAGCGCCAAACATTTATTTTTGCCCTGCTCTAGCTCGTTGCTTGAATGTTTCACGGTGAACCTCTTGCATAGACTCTGTTGATTGGAACCCGTAACCTGGACGACAAACGAATATAACGTTAGGACTACAGTACTCTATGGCAAAACCGAATCTAGCGTACGGTTGAATGCAAGTTAATTATACAAATGTGGCCCCGTACCTAGAGTCCTTCTTCCAGATAATCCGTGATACGCCAGTGTGAACCTCCAGTGATGAACTTGTTTTTTAAAGGAGAAAAGGTTATCGATTTCTCAAATTGCAATGACATTCTGCTATTTCTCTTTCACTTCTGTCTTTCAGAAATACCTTCCCCTGCAGCTGCGCATCTTCCAGAAGCGGAGTAAGAAAGAAATAACTAACAATTAAAAGGAAAGGATTGAGATGACCCCTGTGAAAACGTTAATGAAAAAAACATCCGAAAATATACCACTACACTTCTTTATTTGTCATTACACTAAGGGTCAGCGCATCCTCTGGAAAAGGCACTTATAAAGAAAATAATTCGTATTGTTATCATTGTTGTCGTTTATATCTTCTTGTTTTATAAGTATTGTACAAAGTAACTTGGATTCGGTTACTTGCGATATAGCAATAATTGTACTCTGTATATTAACTTGCATCATAATCATTATCTCTTTATCTCTTTGATTGGATTATATATTATATTATATGTGTTATATTATATTATATTATATGTGAGAGTATGTATAGGTGTATATGTGTATGTGTATGTATGTATGCATGTGCTATGTATATGTATATATATATGTATATCTATGTATATGTGCGTATATATGTATATATATATATATCTATAAAAAAAAGTTTAAGCTCACTTCCTTATTTTGTATTCATTATGTATCATGACTATATTGTTTATCTAATGAATTGTTTTGTATATTATCTTTGTAAACACATTTTATATTATATATTGTATTATTTTGAACGCAGAAATAAAAGCAAACAAAAAAAGCAAACAAACAAATAATTTCAATAAGACTAATTCAGTTGAATGGGATTTACTAAACTCATATTGATCTTGGAAGAACAAGTGTTTTTTTGTTGTTAAAAGGATTGAAACAGTTCTGTAATTCTAAACTACAGACGAGTCGTCTTTTCTGAAAATTGGAATGAATTTTGCTATGTTTAATGCATCCTGAAAAATAGCTGCAGTAAGAGATAGGTCACATAGGTCACAAATATGTACTAATTGCGTTACGATACTGCCTGCAATCTCATCAGTACTACTTGAATAATCTATCTTCAAGGAATTAACAATATTAACAAACTTTAATAAAATCTCTAAGCATGAAGAAAAGTAATTTATCACATGGATTGTTGATACATTCTAAATATGTTTCGGTACAATTAGAATTGATTTTTGATGTCTGATAAGGACCTATCACTTACAATTGAAAGTGCTTATTGAAACTATCAGGATATTGTTGGACCCCCATTATCAAAGGGTCTCGTTTATAACTTCTTTCCACATAATACAATCAATAACAGACAAGAATAAACGTTATGATATAGAAGGGAATTAGCATTGAAATATTTGTTTACATTGTTTTGTATTTGTTTAATGCAAAATTATTGTTTTTAATTCTTTCCTATGACGTTTATAATCGGATCATTCTAGTTAATTGGGTGACGGAGGCTACGTTCGTACTACTGATTTTCATTCTTTATTGAGATAAAAAAAAAATCCTTAGTTATCCAGGGATTTTGGCATATTCTTTTATTCAAATTTCGTTTAATCTTCTTGGGATACATCTATGAAAAAGAAATGAGAATGTATTCCAAAAGTTTGCTCGAGAAATATTACTATCATTACAAGATAAAACATTGTTCCGTGTTTCCATCATTGGGTTTTTATTGAAGGCTATAATACATTTTCTCCCGTGAGTTTACGAAATATAAATGATGTATTTGGGTCTGTGCGGGACAAAGAATTTGTATTACAAATATCAAATGTGGGAATGTGGTTTGAAATTTCATTATAATACCAGGCATTCATACGTTCAGTAACTGCACTGATGAAAATATTGTCTATACCTGGAACTGTTCATCGTAATTGTAGTTGGTTTTTCAATGGTGTTCATGAAAAAGTTTGATTTTACAAGATTAATAAATGTATTAAAGGGGCGAGCCTGTGTTCATCGAGTCTATACTGAAATCACCCATCAAACAAACAGCTTTATTTTTCATAAATCCTAAGTTTTAGCGGAATTCTTATTTCTTCTAAGAAATATGTCTACATGTGTATTGTATCAATCGTAAATGTGATAACTGAAAACAATTACAATTTATTGGATGTCTTGCCGTGGATGCAGGGCAAAAGCATCTCTTAAAGGCCCACTGCACTACTTGTAGCTACTTGCGCCTTCTATATAACAAACAATGCCTAATCGGTGACCATTGGTCCCCCATGATCCTCTTTTTCTTATGTTAACTGAGAGCTGAGTTGATGAGATAACCACCTGTCCAGTGACCTTGCAGGGCAGTCTAATCCCTCCTGTAAACTACGGCAGATAAGCTATAACGTACAAACCGGATTACAGGGCCCTGTTTATAAAACTTGTTATCAATACAAAATTTGAATAAACTGTTATAAGCTTCTGAAATCGTGGCATGTAATTTTTGGTTGAGAGTCTAAGTTTGAGAGAAATTTATAATTTGTTAGTAATAACAAGTTTTATGAAACAGGTTACAGGACTCATCCCCGTTGATTTGTGATGTTGATGTTCAAATTGCTGATGGACAATTCCGATTCTATTATTTGTTAAGGGGGAAAGAACCATTTACGAACCTTTTCCATACCATTTCGTAAGATCTTCTTAAGAAGGCCGTACGAAACCAGCGTTTGTAGACCGTTCGTAAGTTCGTAGTCTGGTCGATGGTCTTGTCCAATAGTTTGTTCACCCTCTTACGAAACCCTCTCTTCGTAAGGCGGCCATACGAACGTCGTAATAACATCGTAAGATCTTCGTACATTTGGTTGGGTCGAGAGACAATCCTAGAAGCCTAAAATGTCTTACGATGATCGTCAGCACGCCTTAATTTGTTCATAGAGGGCTCTTACGGCGTTCGTAAGAACACCTTACGAACGGAGATTCGTAGGGCCTTCGTACAAACGATTCCTGGTGTCCGTAAGGCGTTCGTAAGGTGCTCGTAAGGTGTACGTACACATTTTATGCAATTTATGCAGCGCGTTTTAGCAAGCCAACAAAATATACACAAAATCGTAAGATCTTCTTCCGAATGACTTGAAAATGCCATCAGTTATACGTACGACCATCTTGCGGGAACAAAAACTCGTCTGACGTAAGAAGAATGTGATCATTTCAAAACTAGGAAAACGTGCAGAATGTTGGGAATTTCCAGTATCCATGCGATCCAAAGCCGGTCCATAAACCAACAACGTTGAATTCGGGAGAAGATGGGTCGTTATGCTGTAGGACTACACTATCATTACCATCACGTGACAAGGTGACGAGGCCATCGACAAATGAAAGATGGAAATGATCGTAGGTTGAAATCCCGGAGAGAGACCAATAATGTGGTTGGTAAGATCGAACCCTTCCATTAACACCGCTGGGTCCCGTGATTATAGCGGCTATATTGTCATGTGCACCAACAGCTGTAGAAAAGAGAGGGGCCGCAGATAGGCCATAAAAACAGGTACAGTTTTATATTATCCCTTTCAAGACAAGCATTCCATATTTTTCAAAGTTTCCAAAGCCGTAAGAAATGTAAAAGATGCATGAAACGGAGTAGCAAACACACACATTGTGTCAGTTTTGTTGCATGACGATGCGTTTAATCTTATGAATTATGAAAAGAAATTAGCTTAATAATCCGGAAACTAGCAATACGATGAGAGGTTCAATATTACTGCTCAGCAGATTTTCGTTGATTTGTTCACATATTTTACAACTATGTATATTGTTTTCAGATACATGACATGTCATATTAAAGAACGGTTTGGCAAAAATTGGCAACTTTCAGAAGAATTGATGAAAGCAATTCAATAGACCTTTAAACAAAATATAAAATTTAATTTTCTCGCTCGACTGAGAATACGTAAACAATATGAAAAGTACTGTATAACTATTCAGCGCATTCATGACTATTTAGTAGGTGCCTCTCGATAATTCATTATATTAAAAGTAGTGTATCATGGGAAATACTGGTTCACGCCATCAACGTCTTCTTTTGGACAAATGCACGTAAACGAATGGACTTGATTAACTGGGTCAGCGCGCTAGCGTTCGCGAAACAGACCGAAGTTCTCCTCTCGCTTCGGTTTCGCGTGTTTTGCAAGCACGTGAATGCAGCGGTCGCGTCGTCTGTAGTCGTATCGATTGGCCACGGGGAGGGCCACGGGAAAGACACATAGTCTCGTCATGACACACCCCTTTTAAAATTGTTGGCAATATCTCTCATTGCAATGAGAAAAACAGCATTAAAGGTGATGAGACTTTCCTAGTTTAAAGCAACTATTATTCCCATTTCATAGTTAGGTGATACGTACGTAGACGTATCACCTTTTGATTTCGTCAAGATTTTTATTATTTATTTATTTATTTATTTATTTATTATTATTCTTCCTCGAATTTGTTCGCAGGATATCTCAAGACTGAATAAAGCCATTATCATGAAACTTGCCATGATGATAGATCTTAGTCTAACTTAGAACTGCGTGACTTTTTAGAGAGTCAAAATTATCGTGACGTCATCCAGGCGCCATTTTGTGAAAATCAACTAATGATCATATCTTCATAACGGAAAAGTATTTCTCATTCATAATTATCACGATTAAGATAAATATCCGTCCGGTCAAGTTGAGGTCAATAAAAGTGCGCAAATGCGCGCGTGCGCGCTCGTCCGCGCGTTTACGCGCGCGCAAAAATTTAAAATGCTCCAAATCATCCCAAATTTTTTTTGCATACGTTTCAGGCCATATGGAGCATTTGATAAAAAAATTACGCACACGCGCATGCGCGCGCGTTTTCGCGTGTACTGGCATTTTGCAACATAGAATCGCCGATTTTTTTCTATCATCATATTCGGTACATTTTTCCAAGCATTTTGATAATTTGTTCACCTTTTATTAACGCAATGAGCGTCCGTCAAAGTTGACAGCACGCGCGGATTTGCGTTATCTTTATCCACAATACATGGGCAAAAACATGCCTATATAAAATTCATTGTAACTCTTTAGAATAGATAGAAACTCCTAATATTTTGTCATATTTGGATAGATTATGAGTCGGAAATATGATTTCATGTCTCATTTGACCCTCAATTAACTCATGACGTCATCATAATGGCCTCCGAACTCAAAAATTTAATTTGCATATTATGACGTCAGCATATTTTTGGAAAATTGATTGTATCTCTGTAAATATGGATCAATTTTCTTTTTAATTTTGATATGTTCTAGCTGAGACAATTTTCTACAAATGTAGTATACAAAATTTTCCAGTTTGACAAAAGTATCATGGTGTATTTTTGCGATTAAAGGAGGCATGTCAATTTTTCGCATTTTGCGTGTATTCTCTATGGGACATGACTTTTTCTCAAAACTGGATTCTACACTCCTGTCTTTCGTGAGCAAAATCTCCGTTGTTT